TGGTGCTTACCAAACATATGCCAAAATCCTACACTTTCCATACATCAACACTTTAATATTAGCCAGCTGCATGCATCTGTAGCCTTGGCTGCAAATGTTACGTAGAAACAGCTTTATGTTGCATTATAAGATCATACTCAATCAACAAAACCATGCTTGCTGCCAGCTGCCTTCTCTCTTCCCTGCAGACGACATTCCAGGGACCTTTCCAGCCTACGTTGCCAGTTATTAGGAGGGAGGATGAAGCTATTTTCAAATCTGAGGTAAGTGCTGGAAATAAACAGATGGTCTCAGACTATCTGTACCTACTTGTGTTGGAGATAGATTTCAACCTGTTTGGCTGATTTACATTTTGTATCACACCCTGTACCAATGTGTGTAGTGTTTCTGAACTCAAAGGGTTTTAAAGCACCCCCACATCAAAGGGAGCCCATCCATTCGTTTCAGCTGTTTTCGATCCAGGACTTCTGTACAATGTGAAATAAAAGCTGTCTTGGATAAATGAACGAGGTCAGGAAGATTTCTCAGTTTACCTGCCATTTAAGTGAAGACTGATTAAAGTCTTGCTAAGTGGCAGCCTGCAAGACTGTTCACTGTAAATTCAGACATGAAATACTGTCCCTTCAGCTGACATTTGCTTTTTAGCTTATACTTGCTTTAAATCCCCTTCTGTTCTGATATACAGTCACGTAAAACAAGTCTTTACAATGAGCTAAGAAGGCTCAGACTCTCTTTTCCTTTTCATTAATGACAAACTCTGTTCTGACCTCAATGGCAAGTTTTCCACAAGGGAACTAAGGATGGATGTCAGACTTCATTCAAAGCCAAACCCTGAAGTGTAGAGCCACAGGCAGAACTGATTCTCAATTTACTGCTCAGTTAAGGAGTTAACTTGAAGTTCACAGAGCTGCAGCATTACAAACACAAGAATTACCTTCCTGGTTTTTACTCAGACAACATTTTCTCCAGCTGGTGATCATCTTTACTGAGTAAAAACAAAGGAAAGACTTTAAGCCCTTCAGGCCTTGTCCCACACTTGTAATGTGAATAAAACCATCACTGAGTTCTACAGCGCAGTTAGAAATGAAGGAATAATAACATTTCAAAAGCAAGTATCGCTCATACCACTCATTTTTTCTATTTGTAATAGTAATAATTTCTAATTCTAGGCCTCTGCTTGAGGTGCCCAAATTAGGAATTTCAATACTTTATGAGTTTTCCAGAATTACCTACACAGAAACCTGCCCTTCTCCACAAACTGCTGTTACATACTGCTGAAAAAGATCTCACCTTAGTCAATGACAACATTAAAAGTAGTTTGACAAGTGACAAATTCATTAGCTTCCCCCCCCCCACATTGAAACAAATAATTTTATCAGTCCCATTTAATTGTCCACTCCCCATGCTCCTGGCTTTTGACTGAAGCACTCAGAACTCCAGCATTTTTGAACTATTCAAATAGTAGAAAATAAAACTAATATTTATCTTCCTCTTCGTGCATCCAATGGAAATTTAAGAGTTGCGTTTTCCTGGAAATCCACTTCATAGAGAAAGATTCTCTTCCTACTGAAGCAAAACCTCCCCCAGATTCCACTGACTGGTCAGCAAGATCAGCTGGTTGCTCTTCTCTGATGTGTGCAGGTGTATTAGCTGAGCATGGGCAATATGTTTTAAAAAGGGACATACTCTTGCTTTGGCATGGCTCTCTATTTCATCCACAGTAGATGAATGTTGGTTGCAAACTTTAATGTTGGTTTTTTCATGCATATTTTTCTCGTATTCTCGAACATCATCCATAGTCATATCTGTAAAAAGTTCAAAATTGTTGGCATTTTCCATTGATTCAGTGCAAACTTCATCTTTTTCTTAAGGAGAAGGTTCTAGGAACAGTCTTTCAGCAGAAGCCAAAAAAGGATTTAAAAAAAAAAGCATGGAGCAACTAGCTTTATGAAAATTGACTCATAAAGGTAGTTAGATCAGCCAAGGAAGGTGTAAGAAGGTTAAGTCAAAGGCAGTCAGAGAACAGGAAGGAGTGGAAACTGTTTAGGAATATCCATGTAACACAAAGTAGGCAGAACGTATTGATGTGCAGGCCTTGGCAAAGGCCAAGATCTTCTAAAAACATTTTAGAAGATCCCTTGGAATAGAGACAGGAATATAGTAAATATTTACTTACCTTTCCAGGCACTTTCAAAAAGTTTTTATGTTATTTTTGCATAGTACATCTCATAACCAGCAAACATTCTTACAGTTGGAGCACACAGCAGCTTAGATTCCAGAAACTAACAATTACACAGGTAAGTGAATTAATAGTGAGTATGTGAACAGTTTTGTAGCCTCAAGCAATTGAATGAACTATAAGAATTAGAAATATTCTACGAATCAGGCTGATTCCATGGGTAGGATCATTTATCGCTGTCTAGGCACGCCTGGTGTTGTCAAAGCAGCACATAACCTGTTAGGTGCCTGCTATGTACTTCCAGGCAAGCATTCCAGATTTTAAAAGATTTATCATGAACCACACTTCCAGTGAACCCATGAAGAATCCAGTTCATTGACTTGTGACCTTACTCTGCTGAGTATTCCCAATGCTTTCAATAATCTACCTGAGAGCAAGGTGTAAGTGAACATGAAGGCTGTCAGCATTTCGGTCTGTTCTTTACAACGGTTTAATAACTTCATGAAAATAGCCATCACTTTTACTCATCAGTTTTACTCATAAAATTTAATCAGCATTTTATTAGCATGATAAGCTTGCAAATGTGCTCCTCTTTTGGTAATGTACATGGTGGTTGTGTTCTTGAGGCTGTAATTTTTCTCAAGTTTATTCTGTGCCACTTGGATTTGTGAATTCTTGTATCACACCACTCCTTGTTATGTGAGATGAGGATCTTGCTGCATTTTATGAGACAGCTTTTAAGCAAAGATATAACTTCAGCTGTTACATTAGTAGTGCAATGCAACGCTTCATCAGTGAAAATGAAATGCAGTCTAGAATTGTGATCAAAAGGAAACACGGAATACCACTAAATCCTACTCTTCTAGTCTTTTACTGTTATCTGGAATGAAAAACAAGCTCATAAGCCATGCTAAGGATGCACTTTGCCAAGCAGAGAACATGCTCTTCATTAGTAAATAATGCTGTGAAAAGAAATTTTCTTAATAATAAAGCTAAGTACAGTTTAGTAAATTTAATGACATGACACATTCATACTTCCAGTATCAGTAATCAGTCAGTAATATCCATAACATAACATGTTCTTTAATAACTGATTTTATGACATGATTATTTGATTCTGCTTTGCTGACTATGATCATCTACAAGTCTTTCTCAAACTTTTCTTCTAAAAGCTGGTAACAGACACACTGATGACACACAGATGCTTTAAAAATCCTGTGTTTTTAAAACCTCTCCCTATGCACACAAACCACAAGTTATTAAATTGAACTGGGTGGATACAACTTGGATTTCACTCATTTTGGATAATGAAATACTCACTTTCTAGTCAGCAAGTCTTACCAAGTGCTATACTTCAGAGGAATGCAGTGGTAGAAGGGCTGCACACAGCACAGAGTTACCTAAACTAACTTCCTGCACTTCCTATTATAAATCTTGCAATGTTCTTAGCTGGTAACAGACACACTGATGACACACAGATGCTTTAAAAATTCTGTGTTTTTAAAACCTCTCCCTACACACACAAACCACAAGTTATTAAATTGAACTGGGTGGATACAACTTGGATTTCACTCATTTTGGATAATGAAATACTCACTTTCTAGTCAGCAAGTCTTACCAAGTGCTATACTTCAGAGGAATGCAGTGGTAGAAGGGCTGCACACAGCACAGTTACCTAAACAAACTTCCTGCACTTTCTATTCTAAGTCTTGCTATGTTCTTAAGCCTTTATTCATATCTCTTTTAGTGAGACCAGATTTTTTAGGTTTTGTACTTAGCCTGACAATGAAGTTCTTGAAGTACACGACATTCTTTCGGAAAAAGACTCACTATTACAGAAATCCATGACATAATCGTGTATCACAACATTCCATTTGTGGAAAGAGTATTTTTGACAGGGTGCATTCAGAGTTAAGATGGGAAAAGCTGTGGTTAATGGTTTTGTGGCTAAAGCTGTTCCATATGTTTAACTTCATGACTACTGACTTGTTATCATCAGTAACTCTGCTAAAGTGCAGATGACTCTTCGCTTCCCGGTAACATTTCCTTATGTCTCGCTATAATAGGTATTTTGGGTAGATTTGGGGCAAATCTATGGGCTCAATTTTCACATGAAGTCAGGCTTCTTTATGTGAAGTCATCAGTTTTCCTGACTTCATACAGGGAAAATAATGGACCACTATATTTCAGGTTAAAAATGGGGGCAAAAACTCTAAAATGTAAAAAATATTATCTCTTAAGAACTGCTTCTCACTGGACAGAAAATTCTCTTCCTAATTTATGGCTACCCCAAAATAGAAGATACTTTCAGTAGATACCAGTATTTTTATGATCATCACAGCCCAAAATTGTCATGCAGAGTTAAATTCATAAGAACATTGTGATTTCAAAAGCACATTCTTTTGTATTTAAAAAATAAATCAGCCCAGTGAGTTTGTTGCTGGGTTCTGATGTAAAACTGTGCAGGTTTCTGAAGACCCAAGAGATGTGTGTTTTTGCACCAGCCCATGAAATGCCCAAGAGAGTGTTTCCTGAAGCTTAAGGAGGGTCTGAATAAACGCTGTAAATATATTCCCCACTTCCTACTGTATGTTACAAGAGTATCTTAGAAATGGTTCTACAAGTATCTATGGTTATGGACACATCTTCGTGAAAATACATGTAAAAAGCACAAACCCTTTGAGCTTATTTTCTGCAGTATAATTGGCTGTTTGATATTCAGATTAGTCTGTACTATTGGAAGTGCAGTTCCTACAGCTGGGGCATGGACTCAGCACAGTTTTTGCATGCAGCTGCTGCTGGACCAGACCCAGGCGGCTTTACGTTTATATCCCTTTTTTGGAAAGGACGTTTAAGCTCCATGTTTTCTTTACTGCAATCCATATTAACAGTTTAAAACTTTCCTAAAAAGCTGAAATTGTGTTGGATGAGAGGCCTCAGGAGCTTGCTGCATGGAAACAACTGCACATTAATGCAGTCTTAATAAGAAGCCTTATTCAAACCTGCATGTGGTTCTCCATGTAGATGACTCTTGGTGGGGGGCAGCTTCTACCTGCCTCCAACACAGGGTGATGAGTCTGATGTGTGTCTGGTGAGGGATGTACCGGTGTCCCTGTGTGCTGCCTGCCTTACAGCTTGCTTCTGTTACAAAAACCTGCTGTGAATGAGCTCCCTACGTTCCACAGAAACTGAACATAGTTCCAGCTCTTTCATGAACAACTTATACTAGAACCTGATGATCCATGAAATTAAAGAGCAATCTGTTGTTAACTGACATGAGCTTTGCATCAGCCCTTTTAAATGGGCTGGGTTTGGAGGCTACTTACCGTACCACTCATCAACCCAGGCAAAAGCCTGCCGGTGACCAATCAATAGTATATCTCTGACCACCTGTGGAACAAGGGAAAGGTTAAATACCTCTGCAGCAACTACACAGCTTAGAGAAGTAACACAGTTGTCTTTCAACACGACTGAAAGATATTCTGTCAGTTTTATGTCTAAGAAAACATGCCCTAGAGAGTCAGACATACTGTCTCTGAAGGTCTTGTGGCCCGACCTCCCACCTCAAGTGGATCTATTGCCCACACTGGATCACATCAGCATGGTTGTGACTGGCATGGGAGACCATTTGGGAATGCGTACAGCACTTACTAATCTTTGGGCAGTTAGACCTTTTGAAACTCTTCCTTTTTCCTTGTTAGTTTTTTAAACATGTGGATAAAACATGCTTATCCGTGGATAAACAGAATATTTTTAATATTATCATTTGGCTGTTGTGCCATTCATTTTTTAGGAGACTGATTGGAAAACTTTCCCACTACCTGGTTGTAAGAAATTCTGCACATCACTGCTACATGTGCAGTACTCATTATACTCACAAATACCTTAGCTCATAAATTTATCACAGCATTGAAAACACTGATAGTTTTTCTCAACCTTAGAACTCTTTGGCTCTGCTCCAGATGTTCCAGCCCTTAGAGAGAGGTCTGAATGCAGATTCAGCTGAGTTCCCCAGCCTCTACACAGTCATAGTTACATTCCTGCGCAGGGTAGTGCTCAAGTTCTGCTTATGTGAAGGATAAGAAACAGCTTGTGTTTCACTGACCTTGTGTACAAATTGCTCTACTCTGGTTTGAAGCCCCCAGACTTCAAATTTCACAGTCACAAGCTTGTAGGAACACATGATGGGCTGATGTGTCTCTCTCCAGCCTTCTTTTAATTGGCCTCTCCCAGTCTTCTGTGACTTGAAATATTTAGGATCCTGCAAAACAAAGAAAACACACTGGGAAATGCAGGAGAGGAAATCCTGTTTGTCAGTGTGCGAAAGTAAACGTTTTGATAAGACATAAAATATTAAAATATGCTAATAAACATCATGAAAAAGTAACATGAAACTGACTTAAATAAGCACTAGAACACACTAAAATCCAATCTGTCTTTCATCCAGCAGCTAGTGAATTGATGGCAGCGTATGCTTGGAGATGCTTTGACAATCCTATCATCTAGGGCATTCTCTGCTATAGGAAAATAGGTTATTGCAAGTAATAATGATACAATACACTCCAAATGTTATTTATGGCCTTTGGAAAAGAACCAAACCCAGGGTGACTTACTGGTACTGACTACCCATGCCTGTCTTCCTGTTATTGCAAGTAATAATGATACAATACACTCCAAATGTTATTTATGGCCTTTGGAAAAGAACCAAACCCATGCCCGTCTTCCTGAACTCATGTCCAGTTGGAGCTTTGACACACTGACACTGGTGGGACCCTGACAATGCCTTTTTCAATTTTAAGCATCTTGTATATCGAGGTGGGCAGCTAAGTATGAAACTCCTCCAGTTCAGCCACCCCTGGTTACAACTGAGTTACAGACAAAACACGGAACAGTTGAACTCTGTCTCTTTTTTATGAACTGGAAAATCAAATAAATTGGTGTTGAAATTACAACAGCAAGACCAAAAAACCAATAATGACATTAGTTAAGCTTTTAAATTTACTTTTTATCTGCACAAGAGACAGTTTTATCTATCAACGAGTAATTTTCCATATTGGTATAATTCCATTTCACTTTATGTCCAATCCTGATAATTCCATCTTGTAAATAGAAATGATTTACAGTTCAGAGCTGATTTTCAAAGCTTGAAAATGATGTACTTCCAGTAAATTCATAGTGGAGTTCTAAAATCTCTCTTCAAGAGTAATCACCCGTGCTTGCCTGTGCCGTCTTCCCCAAAGCTGAGATCTGGGAAGATCTTTTAAATCCATCCTTTGTTATAAAAGCAAAACATGTACTTAAATACGTGCTTTAACTATGAGTTAAATGGAAAACAATCAGGAGAAAAATAACAAAAATTTGATAAAGACTATTCTGATCTTAATTTTCTTTCATTCAATGTGAGCTTACACATCATTCAGCCTTCCTTTTTTCTAATGTTCAGCTATCCCCTGACTCAGCTTCTGATTTTATCCATAAACTGAAGCTCTGTCATTAAAGCCTCTCTACAAAGCTCTAATGAGGTGATAGTCTTGCTTCTCTGTGAAAGTCATTGCTTTTATTGCTGACATACTCTTTTCTAAATAGAAACTTGAAGCTCACAGCATAATAAGGTTCCAATGTTAAATCACCACGAGAAACAATTCAGTGTCATCATTTATCAGAGCAACATACCACCATATATCACTGCTCATAGTGTCATGCTGTTGCCAATCTTCTCACTCAATAAAACTTGACCTCAGATTGATCTAGATATCTTCTGCTTGAAAGAGTTGTTTTATAACTAACCATTGCCTGAAGCTATCAATATAATAAAAAAAAAGTAAAACTCAAAAGGGAAGAACTAAAATGTAATATTCAAAAAGATGTAAAATTCTAGTAGATTGTTCTATGAATAAGGAAATAACTACAGGAAATATGATTTCAAGTCATTCTTAACTTGGTGGCCCACAAATAATCCACCTACTGCAATGCATCTGTGACATTACTCCAAGCTGCAAATTCCTTTAATGGCACCCAGGAATGGCACCTTTGCTTCCCTTACTCACATCCATTTCTCTTGAAGGACATGATATTTAGTCACAAATTGGCTGGACAGTTCCAAGCAGAGAGCCAGGGAATGATGGACAGCATGGGCAACTTGCACCCAATAGCTTTTATGGAAATTCCTGCCTTTCTGAAAACATTAACTGATGAATGGAAGCCAGGAAACAGATGAAGATGTTAAAGATTTTACTGAGTGCTTGCTCAGGCAAGCTAAAACTCAAAGATTGTGTATAAGCTCAGTAAGATTTAGGATAAGAGTAGTAGGTCGTAAGAGACACAGCAACATTAAGCAAAGTGAATTTGAGAGTTTAATCCCTGGGCCCTCAATTCAAAGGGTGTGGAAGGTGAGAACTTTGGCATGAAAGCCACAACCCAGAACTATTCATGCGCCTGACTCATGACTTCAAATTGCCAGGTTCAGATTCCCAGCCTGGAGTCCCTTCTGCCATCAGGTATGTAAGGTCCTTCTAAAAAAAATAGAGTAATTAAGCAGGAGGATAATTTTCTATTAACTGCAAGTAGAAATCACACTGGTTCACAGCACTGCTGCTCCTCCTGCCTCTCATGCTGTAGCTCACTGATTAGGTCAGTCAGAACAAATTAGACACATGGGCCATGCTCACATCTCTGCAGGTCCCAGGAGGAAGCGCTGAGCACCTGCCTGTACCAGACCATGGCCATTCCCTGCTCCTCCTGTGAAAGGCACAGCAATTTCCCAAACAGATACCAGAGGCAAGAGGCTGGAGTAAAGCAGCATGTTCTCCAGGCAGGAATTGTGGCACATGTGTTTGAAACACTTCTGTCCATGACTAGAAACTGGGCAAGCCGATCTTTGCTCTGACCCCTTTTTATGTTGTTATTTACATCACCTACTTTGCGTGTGTCTTACTTTTGCTTTAGCCACCCATGCCTTCCTTTCTAGAGGAGCCATCAGCCAAAGAACACTGCATCTATTCACCATTTCCCCCTTAATTTATCTACTGGCAAAATCCTCAATCCATTGTAAATGTAATGGCATAGCTAAAATCTTTTTGTTTAAATAACCTTCTCGTCCTTTTATCAGACACAATTTATTAGGAAAGCCCATCTGGCAAATCCTTTCGCAGAGGAGCAAAACCTACTCTGTATTTGCAATACATTTATTGCCAGGTGCAGAGTGATTTAAAAATAGCTCTTCTGCTAACATAGCAGAAACATCATGACCCGTGAGCTGGGCTTATTTGAGAGTAAAATGTAAAATTAGAACAAAATAAAACAAAAGCCCTGGTGTGATGGATATGGTTTTAAACACAGCACTCTCCCAGTGTTTCTTAGGCCATGTATGGTTGGTCCTGGCTCAACATGCTTATTATTTAGCATGTATTTACTTAACTTTCCTCGTGGACCACAGACGTCACAGGCATCAGGTGTGGAATTGTAACCTCCCTTCCAGGAGGTGAACACCAACATGTTGACAATACAGTACTGGGTTGCTGCAATGGCATTTCAGATTTGATTCCAAAATGTTATTTTTTACTTAAATAATGAGACACACTTGTGGTTTACAGAAACCTTCCAAATCTGCATGGGCATTCTTTCCCTGAGCATCGCCATGGGATCAGCAGGAGTTGCAGATGCCATACTCTTGTGCAGCTGCCAACACCTACTTTGTGTGCTGGAAGCCAGCATGGAACATCTTGTTACCTTGTCACTGATGTGTCTTGAAAATTTCTTACTGTTTGTAGAGGCATTACAGCAAGGTGAATGTGCTCTCCAGAGGTGAAGGTGCACTGTGTGAATGTCATGCATCCTGTTCTCTTACTGGAGGCACTCAGATCTCCCAAAGCAGACCCTTCCTCCCTCTCTTCCTTTTAATGCATGGCTTTGTTCTTTCAGACCCCTATTGCAGTACATTCCACCACTGTGCTTAAATCACATCCTCAAAACTGCTAAATAACGGCCCCCCCCCCCCCCCCCCCCCCCCCAAGCTGATCATTTTGTTTGATCTAGAATTTTGGAACCAATCCTTCATGGGTTTAATACATATGATCTGGCCTTTCACCATCAGCTGTAGCTGCTAGGTTTTGGATTTCAGCTTAGATAGCGAGGGCTCTGGAAAGATTTGTTGATGTAAAAGTGCTACTATAGACATTTATGCGGAGCCACTTTTTAAAGAAT